AAGTTCACGGTTCGTTTTAATAGGTGTAGGTGTCATTTGAAAATTAAAATGAGTGTAAAGTCAAGCTGTACATTTGCTTTTTATTGTTTGTATTTTAAATTATTGTTCTACTACTCAATTTGGTATAGTAAACAAACATCCAAAACGCGACACGGTGATGCTATCAACAAAAAACAAAGTCGCGTACCCACCGCCATTACTTTTGTCCAGCACTGTATATGACAATTATGTGAATTGGACTCACCTTTTTTGTTAACGTTATAGGGATTATTTCTTCTTCTCTATCGACTTCTAAGGCACTCCATGTATAGTTTAGAATTTGTTTCTCTTGCACAGCGGACGATGTTCCTTGAAGATGGCGGAGGCCTATTTCCTCAAATTCGAGCATCCCTTCTTTCTGAGAAACAAAATAAAGAATTAGAAAGTATTTACTCTAGATAGTTCTTATAAAGACAACCCACCCACTGCAATTTGGATTTCTCATCAAGCAATTTGGATTCCGTAGCAATGACTTGTAGATCCCAGAAAAGTTTTATCGACCTGCTATTTCTATCATTCTTATTATAGGGAAAAAAATATATCGTATCAAATCCTCTAGTAGCATCAAAATACTATTGATCAACATCAAATACTTTGATGCATATTCACAAAGTAGCACTGCAGGAACAACCACGGACAAACACGCAGTCATTCCCTTGCGAATACGCAATCCACAAGCTAGTCCGTGCGAATACGCAATCCAAAAACCACAACGGACAAACACGCAGTTATCCCTTGCGAATACGCAATTCACAAGCTAGTCTGTACGAACACGCAGTCCGTGAAGTAGTCCGTTGAATCACTGCGGAGCTTCCTTTGCGAATATAACCTACAACATTAAAGCAAATACATTTACCCTGAATTCCTCTTGCCACTTTTTCACCATCTGACCAACTTCTGAAGTTTCAACAGGTAGCTACTTAGTGTCTAGTTCCTTCTTATATCGAAGGTGTTCTACTGGTGTTTACACTTTCCCAGAAGGCTACATGTTCATGAATACCGGGTTATACTATAAAACATAAAAATAAAAAAAAAACCACTGGCACAGTAGACTTTACCACGGTATTTCAAAGCGTCTAGACATTTTGGAAGCAGATCCATTTTGTAGTTGCAATATACGCAAGGGAAAAAAAAGACGCGTAGTAATCGTTGATAATCAATAACGATAAGGGCTATATATACGACGATCACCGATTGGCTGTAAATGCACCAATTAGTAAAAGTTTTTTCTGAGATCAAAATAACGACAAATTAGAATTTTGGTTAAAGTATGGTTTGGTAAAATAATTAATTATACAATATATCGTATTATAATTATGGTTAAAGTACTGTTGAAGTCCGGTTATGACGCATAAAATTTACTATAAAAACAAAGCAAAATCTCTATCGGACCCAAATATCGAAAAAATGGTTGAAATAGAAATGATGAATAACATAATCTTGGAAGGAATCGAATCAGATTTTGGGATAGCATTGCAACTGGGATTAATCAAGAGCATAACACGAGCTTTAATGTAAAGAAAAATTTATGAATCTTGTTTGGGATTACACTGTAAGTATGGCATAATAAGAATTTTATCCGGATTAGATTTTTTTGCTTACGTCTTAGCTAGTATGGCTAATAATTTATGATAATTAGTTGATGTGCGAGTATATGGCAGGGAATCAAAGAGCACGAAGAAGTCGAACGGGTGCGCAATATTTTGATGAATTCCGTACGCATTTTTGGGAGAGGCCTGAGATAAAATTCGTAATATAAATAGTTCAAACCGTAGGTAACATAGAATTGGAAGGAATAATACACTGCGCCATCTACTGGGGAAGTTGAGCATGTATTAGACCAAATATCACCGCTTAATCGAAGAAGCCGAAGTTTGTCTATTACTAGTAGAAGGCAATCGCCCTATCCATCTTTACCCCGTGATGCTATAAACATTAATACAAACAATCCTGGTGTGAAAAATCCTGAGCAAAATATTGGTCATGCTAGCTATGTCGAAACATCATCTCTTCGACCACCACTACCTTACGAGGCCACAGATGGAGCACAAAATAATAATAATCCTTCAGAAATAAATCAGAGCCATATTGTTTATAACCAGAAGTAGTTGTCTCTGGCAATATGCCCTCGTCTCAAAACGAAAGTGATGTTAGTATGCATGATGTAGGAGATAGTCAAACATTTTCTAATATGGAATCGATAAATGAAGAGGTTTGATAAATATTTTCGATCATTTTTTTATTTAGTAAAAATAGTACAGTTAATCGCTGTATACATGTGAAGCGGGAAATCTATATATCCACTATTTTTTGGTAATTTTTTCTCGTACACGACGCCTCTTGCTTTCGGGTTCATCACATGCGGTTATTCTATCTTTCAATAATCCTACGACTATACTGATTACCTGTTTTATATCCTCCCTCAGATTTTCCTGATTACCCTTAAGTGCCTTTTTTGTGAGATATATTTGATATTCACTATTGCTCGTACAAAAAATTCCTTCGGAAGTGAACATGATAAAGTGCCAATCCACACCTAAAAATAAATTCGATGATTAGTATAGCTATAGCTAGCGTGATAATCATGACTTCGAGGTGTCCTATGAATCTGTTCCACATACCCGTTGATATAATCCCATATATATAGATAGTCATAATCCTCGGCCTTAAATGCTTCGACTGTATTAGCGCTTTAAACAAATATCTTCTAGCCAGTGTTTGAAGCTGGATCTTATTGGTTACATCAAAACAATAATACAAAGGTTGTTCATGATTAAATAAAGAAATCTATGCCCCATGTGGCTTGGCAACAACCAAGGATCGTCGCGTCGCGTACGCAAATCTTTCTGACATACTTTGGTCTACTGTGTCATTTCCAACAGCCTTATGTGCTGAAAGACGAAAACTAAGCAGTGAAGGATCTCAGATATTTGTAACGTATCAATTGAACGAGCCTTTGTTCTGGCGACGGGTTCTTGCATCTTACATTGACGCGTTTCTGTTGCAGAATTCACACCCTCCAAAACTAGAGAGCAGGTATCAAACGTTTATCTTTTTTTCTTTTGCTTCACCATAACTTGGTTACGAACAAAGGAGGACTGCGACAGACTTCATAAGCTGTCGAAAGCCATTAGGGGATCGTTGTAGCCTTTACTAGGCCATTATTGGTAATGCTACATCTTGGTGGCCGCTCTAGAGTGAAGGTTGCGACCGCACCAAGTTATGAAGGGGATTGTTACGAACAAAGGAGGACTGCGACAGACTTCGTGAGCTGTCGGAAGCCATTAGTGGATCGTGTAGTCTTTATTATTATTAGACACACGGAAGCCATTATTGGTGATGCTACATCTTTGGTGGCCGCTCTGGAGTGAAGGTTGCGACCGCACAACCCATGATATAACATATTACTTCACTTAAAATCACAGCACATGCATTTGTGATATCACGATGAATTAATGAATATTTCTTTTTTCCCCCCATCCTGCTGAGAATGGGTAAACGTCGGTCAACAGAGACTGTGCAAGCAGAAATGGAATGGATGTTACAAAGTGCATTGCCAACTCCCCTAGCATATTTCCGCTTCGTGAATTCCTCTCAGAAATCCAGTGCACTCCGAAAATACTGTAATCTTTTGTTGAAAGTGACCAAAGAAAGCAGTGATTCTGCTGTTGTAGATAAATTGAATTCACTTCTTGATAAGTTCAATGTATGTGTTTGATATTATTCAAAGCTTTAACGACAGTACCTAAATATGAACTCCATGATAATTAGAGTGGTGAATATGCTGGAGACTGGGAAAAATGGAAGTTGGAGAAAGCTAAGGTATGTTACTATTCATTTTGATTTGGAAATATGTACTTACTGTATCTTGCGCCTTACAGAGCGTGATTATGACTGGAGTTGTTGACACGATTCAAAATGTGCTTGAAAATATTAATTCAACAGTATGCAACCAACTAATTGAATCAGGAAATGAACGGGTAAGTATGGAATGAAGGAAAAGCATGACTTTATGTTGCACTGATCAAAATTTGGATCTCTAGAGGAAGGATAAGTCAAGTAAACATGATGGGAGGCCAACAAAGAAAAGGAGAACTGAAATCATTAAAGTAAGTCAACCAAGTAGTGACAAGAGCTGTGTCGCTAAGTGGTTATAATTAATGTGAAATTCTCTCAAACTGGTAATCCAGGAACAACCACGAGTCCCAGTAACGCCGAATAAAAGAACTATCAGCCACCAAAAAGTCAAGAAGTACGTTATTAAATGGTTAAAGCTAATTATCAAATGTTTGAATTGTATTAATCCTGTAATATTATAGATATAGCCATCAAGCACCGCTTATTTGTGCATTCAAGTCAACGATACAAAATTTGCCCGAATTCTTAGAGGCTGACATAGTCGAGGAAATAACTAAATATACTGTTCGAAACGTGCCGTCTGTGTGGACGCCAGAGCTCGTCTCTTATATAAATCGTGCATTAAAGGTTTTTAGTCATGATTAGTTTTTATTATACAAGGATGGTTATGCATTCTGACGTTTTATATATTAGGCTGAGAAAGGAGAATTTAAATTGAAGATTCAAGAAACAATTGATGGCAATGTCAAAGTACAACGATTTCGACTGTATTGTGAAAAAGTACTTATGGATTTGTAAGTGGCAGTTCGTCTCTGCGTAATTATTGTATTATCTCAATGTTAACTTTACATCTATCAGTTATAACCTTGTTGATGTCAATCCCATATTGACGATGAACATTGGGGAAAGGAAGTGCACTGCAGAAAACATTATTCCTATATTTAAGTTTTACGAAAGAACATATGACCATATTTATTTCGATTGGTCAGTATGTCTCGTTGCTGTATACAATTTACAAATTAAGTCAGATGTACTTAACTCTTATTGCATGGAAAGGATTGAATCGCATGCCCGTGCATCAAAATTACTCAAAACGGCTTCGGAGAGCGGTATTGTTAAAGTAGATGGAAGAGGAATTCGTGTGTTGGACCACCAAGAGATATGGCACATGGAAGTCGCCGGTTCGCCGTCAAACCCATCCATGAAAGATATTAAGAAGGCCCTCGACACGGACTTGGCCATCTTGGTCGCGCTTCTCATGTCACACTTGGATTGCCCTTTAGATCTTGGTACTGAAATTAAAGTGTTCAGTACTCAAGTGATTGGTAAGCATCTTTTGGTGTTTGTCGTTGAACAAGTTCTCCAATTTAAGATGTATTTCATTGCTGTGATTTAATTTATTTTTACAATAGGGGATCGAATGACGCTGTACGCTTTGAGTATGATGAAAGACGGCCAATTCTTAGCAACTGAGCTGGCTTCGGCCACACTGCCATTCTCTTTTGCGGCACGTGTTCGATATAAGGCAATTTTGAAAATGATGGCCGTTTTCAACGTGGGTATAGTGATAATTTTCGTAATCCGGTATCTCTGCATGAGCCGTCACGAACAGGTTACTAATTCATGGCCGAATGATTAATAGGATGAGGTGGAAAGACAAGAACATCTGATCAGTGAAATTGATTTGTGTGATGATAACGAAGAAGCATCCACAATCCGAGACGTCCTGAAACTTCCAAAAAGCCTCAAAAACATATCTTTTCTGTCCGATAATGTCGATACTGTACCAATTGATGAGATTAGCGTGTTCAATCCGGAATGAATGTATTATTGATGACTATTCAATAAAAGTAAAGCAGCTATTTGCTTTATATTTCTTCAATTTCTCGTTTCTTTCTTGGTTCATCATAAGTTGGTTTTAATGTTCGTTTCTTCTTGGTAAATTTCATAAGTGATTTTTTCTTGATCTAGATATTCCTGGAGAGTTTGGGTATCATTGATTTTAAAAATGTAAGGGGCAATTTTTTCTCCTTGAGCTTTCTTTAAAATGCTTCTAATAGTACTGTAATTCTTTGGTTCCATAGTGGATTTGATGTAAATATAAATGAGTTTCATATATTTTATTTTTATATAGAGATAATTCTATATTAAATTTATTATAATTTTTTGTAAACATCTGTGCCAGTTTCAATTTAAATTTCAATCATATTTGGCTAAGATAATCTCTAAACCTATGTCTGAGCCACAGCTTTGCCACTAAAGCAAAACTGTTATCAGTCACTGGTTATTTTTTCAGTCACTCCAGCCATTTTTAACTTGCCCCATATACTGTAGCAATTAGACTTATGCATCGTGCGTAAGTAAAATTTTACAAACAAGCCGTTTTATTTATTTGTTGAGCTTCATTACAAAGTTATATGCATTTGAATTCAATAAATATTACCTAACAACGCGTTGATAAATGACTCGGCAATAAGTCGAGCCTAAAAAATTATTAAAGAGATCGGAGTTTTGAATGACAACTTTACTTTCCTACATTGTTCTTAATAACTTTGCCTGGGAGTAAGAATAGCTATTTCAAATTCTCACATTTTTAAGCACACATGATATTAATTTTATATTTTTAAAAACTATCAGTAAGACGCTAAAAGCTTAATAAATCAGAAATGGTTATTGAATTACTGTATATTTATTTCGTAGAATAATAAATAGAACAAATACATCCTTTTTTTTTAAAAAAAAAAAAGCCTTAAGCGAGAAAGCAACACGCAAAGTTTACGGATATACGGTGGGTACTCAAAGTTTCCGACCACCCTCTAAACTTTTTGTTGTCCATGCATAGCATTTACAAAGAAATTTCCAAATCATATGAAATTTTAGCCATGATTTACGCTTGTATTGAGTTACATTTCTGTAAAATTTGCTACACATTAATATATAAATGTTCGAGGTTGCCTATACCCGAATTTGTTCAACCAAAATAAATAAATTACATTCCCAGGTTCTCAATCTGCTAACTAGAAACAAGAAACACATAAAGCCTCTCTTATCTTTTCATGTCACAATGAAGATTATTCGCTAACATATGCCCCATTAAGATTCTTTGGCATCTTACTGACTAATAGACCGTTCTTTCGCGTAAGCTACTTAGTTGGTCGTAATAATATGTGTGCTTAGCTATATAATCGGTCATATAACTTCGTTTCCACCCTTTGTTTCTCGCTACTTAAGCAAAGTTGTTTCATGTCCCAGAACGCGTTTAATAATTACTCTCACGCGCAGGTTTTAAAATTACAACCGCAGTCTTTAAAAATCGGGATCGAAGTTTGTGTGAATCAAATAATTTGAAAACACAATTCTTTTGCAAAATGTTGACTTTTCAGTGTCACAGTGATTGTCATTCCTTTTTTCTTTGGTGAGACTTGCAGCAGTCTGTATTCTTTGGTAATCGTATCGAGTCTTTCGAGAGTATATGCGTGTGATTAAAAGAAGCTATCGTAACTTTCTTTGTTGTTGGTTTTTGCACCTTTAAACAAAAGTCGCACATATAACATACACTGAGGCTGTAAGACGCGGCCTTTGCATAATAGCTGTAATAGTAAGTGTGACTTTTATAATTCAGTTGTAAGACGTGTCATACTAATACGCCTAACGTGCGTTAATTTATTGGCTACAGTTATTTCTCATTTATTTTCGGTTTTACTTTTTTAGTCTTTTTTTTTTTTTTTTTTTTTGCCAACCTGGTCATTTAGTGTATTGATGTTCCATCGAACCAATCGAATTTGGAAATTACCACGTACAAATACAAATTTGGGAACCATCTGATGGCTAGATGCTTCGATGGCTTGATACCATGTTTGGTTCGGATATACAAAAATTTCCGCAACGACCAGGATGAATAACTGAAAATACAGACCAGCAGACTACTTACTCCACTTTTTGTCGTACAGCTGATTTCCAAACGGATTGGCCCGATGACCGTCATAGTCAGAGAATTTTGGCCATTTCGGGTCATCTTGGGGGGACACAAAAATTGCCGCAGAATTATCGTTTATCGCATCGTCTTCATAACTGTACACTTGAGTTGTACTGAAAGAAGTTATCAAACTTTGTGACATAAATAATAAATAAGCTATTATTATATCATTTGTCTCACTCTTCCAATACACTAGAATGGAAAAGGGAGACCAAAACGAGCTATATCAAAAATCAGCTGAACAAGGACACATTAACGTACAATTACAATATGGTCTTGCCGTATGTTATGTGGATGGCACTGGAGTAGAAAAAGATAAACAACAGGTAGTTGAATTGTGTCAAAAAGCTGCTGAACAAGGGCGAGCCGGTGCACAATATATTCTTGCTCTATGTTATGCCAATGGAATTGGAATAAAAAAGGATGAACAGAAGGCAGTTGAATTATATCAAAAAGCTGCTGAACAAGGAATTGCTAGTGCACAACTCAATCTTGCAGTATGTTATCATTTAGGAACTGGAACAGAAAAAGATGAAGAGAAGGCAGTTGAATTGTATCAAAAAGCTGCAGAACAAGGGTATGCCAGTGCACAATATAATCTTGGTGTATGTTATACCAATGGAACTGGAGTAAAAAAGGATGACAGAAGGCAGTTGAATTGTATCAAAAAGCTGCTGAACAAGGAATTGCTAGTGCACAACTCATTCTTGCCATATGTTATGAGAATGGAACTGGGGTAGAAAAAGATGAACAGAAGACAGTTGAATTATATCAAAAAGCTGCTGAACAAGGAATTGCTAGTGCACAACTCATTCTTGCTGTATGTTATGAGAATGGAATTGGGGTAGAAAAAGATAGACAGAAGGCAGTTGAATTATATCAAAAAGCTGCTGAACAAGGGTATGCCAGTGCACAATATAATCTTGGTATATGTTATGAAAATGGAATTGGAGTAGAAAAAGATGAACAGAAGGCAGTTGAATTATATCAAGAAGCTGCTGAAAAAGGACATGCCACTGCACAATTTAATCTTGGTGTACATTATACCAATGGAACTGGAGTAGAAAAAGATGAATGGAAGGCAGTTGAATTATATCAAAAAGCAGTTGAGCAAGGATATGCTGATGCACAATTTAATCTTGGTGTATGTTATACCAATGGAGCTGGAGTTAAAAAGGATGAACAGAAGGCAGTTGAATTGTATCAAAAAGCTGCTAAACAAGGATATGTTGATGCACAATTTAATCTTGGTATATGTTATACTAATGGAATTGGAGTAGAAAGAGATGAACAAAAGGCACTTGACTTGTATCATAAAGCAGTTAAAAATGCACACATGTCAGTGCAATATAATCATGACCATGGTACACAATATAGTAACTTTGCTACAGTAACAAGTGATATGCAGCATATAATTGGCATGTATCTAGTATCAAGCACTTGCTGAAAAGGGCAATGTTTATGCACAATACATACTTGGTCTGTGTTATGAAAATGGAATTGGAGTAAAAGAAGACATTTCAAAAGCATTTGAACTGTATGAAAGAGCTGCTGAACAAGACTATAGTAAGGCAAAAAATAAAGTCTATACTTTTTATGAAAATGGGATGGAAGTCAAGAAAAAGATAAGAGAAAAAGTTGAGTTGTATAAGAGAGTTACTTATTTAAATAATAAATGACAACAGCATTGTTATGTTTATTATTATGTTTGGTCACTTGGAGAGTGTTTGTGTTCAGTAATTGACCATTGACAGAGAGCCCCATGTAAAATATTAATCAATGATGCCCTTTATTCAAACTTTCACATTAATAAAATGTGCACTGCCAACTCACAGGTGATTGAAATTGCTGGCTACAATCCCTGTATAAAAATTGTTGCATGTCATAAAAATCAGGCTAATGAAATGGAGAACACTTACAAATATTTGTGCAGCTGGCATAGGGAGAGGAAAAAATTTAGCCAAAACCAAATTTTCCTTATTAGTAAGACAGAAGGGAAAATAGATATTATAATTAGTACACAAATATTAAGTGGTGCTTGAGAAAATATAAAGGTTTGATTTTTTTTAAACCATGTTTACACAAACTTAATTTTCGGTTCTTTGAACTTGGGTAACCAAATGTTTACACAGGGAATGTGGTCGGGACAAGCGGCAACGTTCCGTGACGTTTAAAAGCATTATTATAGAATCAACGAATAATTTAAGGGGTAGTCGGAGACTTTTGAGTACTCACTGTATGTATTCTCTGCACGGTTTGAGTAGCTCATGCGCAATATCCCATTTGCGCACGTATTGAACATACAAATTTAAACGCGGCCCAATATATATATTAACAATACATAACTGACAAGAATAACACGACTGTTAGGAAGCGTATACTTATGCAACGAGTTCAAGCTAATACCGCGACCAAGTTTCTGCTGAAATCGTTACCGTCTCGATCGACTACGTTGGCGCCACCTTTGTGAATTAGCGCGCCAAGATACCATCTTTTACATTTTGAATCCGTTACGATTCAACTTTATTGTAAGTTGCGGATGAACCGATGGAAACGCAGAATTTGGATCGTGTAACCAAATTGGGTTTGCGATCTAGATTGGACCGGGCTGGTCCGTTAAGAATGTCACATGAATACAACTGTGACAGTATTTGATGTGTATGTATCACCAAAAATTATACTGTTGAACTTTAAAGCTGAGTTAGCGCAACGAATTAATATAAACAAAGTGTGATAATGTTTATACCATTAACCCCGTGTAAACATGGGAAAAAAAATTTTTTTTTTCTTAACATCACATTAGTATTCCGTTGTACACTTTAATTTTGAATAATAAACAATGATAC